TTCTCGTTCTTCTTGTTTCTTTTTTTTTCCTCCAACAACTGTTGTAATCTCTCTTCTTGTTTATTTTGTTGTTCGAGCTGCCAATGTTGCATGTTTTCTTGCAACTGCTGTTGTCTCTCTTCTTGTTTCTTTTCTCGTTCATTTTCTCGTTCTTCTTGTTTCTTTTGCTGCTCTTGTATTGCTGCCATCAAGTCTGCTAAGCTGTAGTTTGATATTCCGCCTCTCGTTTCCATTTTTTTTATCGTTCCACTCTCTGACACCAATTTGTTACGTCTCCGTTTGTTAATTAACTTTCCGTAACTTCGTTCCACGAAACTTTAGCGACACAAGTCCTTACTTAATAAAATTGGTTTATTCTTTCCGAATATAACTTTACGATACACTTAATTTCAATATTCGCGCTAAAACAAACACTATAACGAACGAACGTTAATTTCAACAATACCCTGTGACTGCAGATCAATTACTCACTACCTACACACACATTATGTCCCGTCACGTTGTCACCCTCTTATATATACCAGACTACCCTATATCTAGTAATCTCCCGACATTTCACGAAGGTACGAGATATTTCCAGAAAGCAGGGGGCGTGACACTAGTCACGTGACCTCGCTGACGCAACAATACGTTTTCAATCTCGATAACAAAACACACACTTTATATTCCGTCACTACCGCTCGCTTCACTCAATTATCTGTCTCTATATCTATCTATCTGAAATTATAACTCCGCTTTTTTTGTCGGGCTTATATACTAAAAAGAGAGCGCCTGGAACAGACTAGAGTTGCCAGGAAAAGTCATGATCCTTCTACAAACTCCAGCTCGCATGCTTCCAGCGTTGCGTGACTTCCGCTGTCGTAACATATATTGAGTTAAAATCAGAAATAATATTCAAATAATATTGAGTTGTTGGACAAGGATCAAAGGGCTATCTGTGCTCTGCCCACCACAGGTATTGAAAACCTGTGTTACGACAACGCAGGGCACGTGACGCTCGTATCACGCCACTAATTTCTCGAACCTTCATGAAATGTCGGGAGACTACTAGATTGGGGCGTTCTTGTATATACAAGA